GGGAAATGAAAATCAAAATGACTCTAAGACACCATCTTACCCCTGTCAGAATGGCTAACATCAAAAACACTGGAGACAGCTTATGTGGAGAGGATATGGAGCAAGGGGAATATTCCTCCACTGTTGGTGGGAATGCAAACTGATACACCTACTGTGGTGATCAGTATGGTGGTTTCTCAGAAAATTGGAAATCAATCTTCCTCAAAATCCAGCTGTACCACTCCCGGGCATATACCCAAGTAATGCTCAATCATACCACAAAAACACATGCTCAACTATGTTCATAGCAGCAGCATTATTTATAAAGCCAGTACCTGGAAACAACCTAGATGCCCCTCAACTCAAGAATGGATAAAGAAAATGTGATTCATATACACAATGGAATACTACTCAGCAGAGACAAACAATGACATCATGAGGTTTGCAGGCAAATGGATGGATCTAGAAAAAATCATCCTGAGTGAGGTAACCCAGACTCAGAAGACAAACATGGTATGTACTCACTCATAATTGGATGCTAGATGTAAAGCAAAGGATAGCCAGACTGGAACCCACAGCTCCTGGGAGGTTAGTTAGTAAAGAGGTCTGTAGGAATGACACAGTCACTGCCCAGTGACGGAAATGGATGTGATCTACATGAGCAGACTAGGGGTGAGGGGGGTAATGAAGGGCAAGAGTCAGAGGAAAGAGAGCTTAGCTTCTAGCTGGATCAGGAACAGAGTGGAAGATCAAGGAAAGCAATACCATGATAAATGAAGACACCGTGCAAATACAAAGAAACAGAGTGCTAGGTTATGTTCCCCAGGAATCCACAATGATGATTCCACAATAGACTACTGGCAATGGTCAAGAGTTCCACTCCCTCCAGTCATTCAATTCCTCACAAACACATCTACTCTGCTTCAGATTCACTACCCTTGCCCCAGAAAAGAGCAGGCCACTGGAGGGCATTAATTGAACATGGCACAATATGATACTATGTGCCTGAGCTGACCTACTCTGGGAATCAGAAGGCTGAATACCTTAACTGTCATCATAGAATCCTCATCCAGTGACTGATGGAAGCAGATACAGAGATCCACGACTGGGTCCCAGGCAGAGCTCTAGGAGTCCAATTGACAAGAGAGAGGAAGGATTCTATGAGCAAGAGAAATCAAGACCATGATAGGAAAAACTACAGAGACAACTAGCCAAATTAATGGCAACACATGAACTGTGAACCAATAGCTGAGGAGCCCCCAGGGTACTGGACTAGGCCCTCTTGATAAGTGAGACAGTTGTTAAGTTTAAACTGTTTTGGGGGACCCCAGGAAGTGGGACTGTGACCTGTCTCTAGTGCATGAGACAGCTCTTGGAACCTAACGCCTATGGTGAGACACTTTTTCACATCCTTGGCATAGGGAGGAGGGGCTTAGACCTGCTCAGATGAATGAGCCAGGCTCTGCTGACTCCCCATGAAAGATATTGCTTTGGAGGAGGTGGGAATAGGGGGAAAATTGGGGGAAAGGCTGGGGAGTATGAGGAGGGAGGACAGGAGAATCTGTGACTGATATGTAGTATGAATGGAAAATGTCTTATTTAAAATAAATAAATAAATAAATAAATAAATAAATAAATAAATAAATAAATAAATAAGAGATATATTAATAGCTGGAGACCCTTACTTAGCACCTTCAGGACTAGAAGGGACCCTTATAACTCATTGCATAAATGTTAAAAATCTTTAAGGAGTTAAAAAAAGTCTATACAATACAGGATATTACACGTTTCCAGATAACATTTTGTGTTCAGATTCTGCAGAAGTGTTTCTAAGTTAATCTGTCCCAGTCTAGGCTTTCAGTGAGGCTGGTGCCCTGAGTCCCTGCTTGGATAGCCCACAGTGGGATCCACTCCCCACTGAAACCCAGGCTTCCCACATCCTACTCACCCCCTTCCTGACTTTCTTCTCATGCCTGAGTGTGAGGAGAAGGGAGAGGGTGAGGAAGAGGAGCAGTAGGAAGTCAGCCACCGAAACCCCCATCACAGCAGATATCTTTCCAGTGCTATGAGCCAGGGGACATCATGAATGAGGAATTGTGAATGATAAACTACTGTGTGAAAATGAAAAAAAAAAACAATCAGAGTCTGCATGGAGCTGCACTAGGTCCCCTGCATCTATATTATGGTTGTTGGTTTGGTGTTCGTTGTGATTTCCGACAGTAGTGATGAAAGTGTATCTGACACATTTGCCTGCCTTTAGGATGCTCTTCTTTCTATTGGGTGATGTCAACCAACCTTGATGTGACTGTCTATGTCTGATGTTATGGTATCATATTGTGCCATGTTCAATTGAGGCCCCGCAGTGGCCTGCTCTTTTCTGTGAATCTGAAGCAGAGTGGACATGTGGGGGACTTGAATGAATGGAGGGAGGGGAAGCTGCAATTAGAATGCACTGTATGAATGAACAATAGATAGATGATAGATAGATAGATAGATAGATAGATAGATAGATAGATAGATAGATAATAGATAGAATGATGATAGTTAGATAGATTGATAGAGAGAGAGGTAGGTAGATAGATAGATAAATAGATAGAAATGTAGATAGGTAGGTAGATAAATAGAGAGAGAGAGAGAGAGAGAGAGAGAGAGAGAGAGAGAGAGAGAGAGAGAGAATACCTACTGTATGAGTACCCCAATTTGGGTCTTTGAATTTGCTGTATCTCATTCTCATAGCCATGCAACACAGGACCATCTCTGAAGACGTTCAGTCAGTTTTCCTGCCCTAGATCAGCCTGAAGGATGGTGCATAGCTGAGGACTGAGTCCAGGTTATCTGTCCCCCACTTTGTTCTGTAAACTGGAGCTAAACCTCATGAACTGGAAGGAAAGATCCTGAATGTCCTGTCCTAGCCCTGTACCACACCCCAACACAATGTCTTCAACACAGTTTTAGATGGGGCAGAACCACTGTGGAACAGAGATCTTGAATCTTTCTCTATAAGTATGTGAAACAGATGAGATCATCATTAAAAGGAACTTAATGTCTTTGCCAGGCCTTCTCTATTTACACATGGAGAAACTAGAACCTCACAAGACAGAGGGTAGTGCATGTCAAACTCTCCAGACAAGAATGTACCAACCACATAACTAGCTTTATCCCTGCTGGACCCACCCTGCAATAGAGTTCTTGCTTAGACATCTGCTTCAGATACAACAGGGATGAAGAGCTGTTTTTCATGGCCTGACACACTTGGAGGGTGAAACTCAGGGGAATTGACTCCTCCTCTCATTTCATGTGTTTGAGCCTAGGACAGATCAACAGGACCACTCTTCATCAGGATGCAGCTAATGCAACCTAGCTTCTGAGCCTCTGGGTTTCTGGAGACCATGTTGGGGTCTCTGCTTCACACCTAGTAGCTTGGACATCAGCCAAGCTGATAAAGGAATGTAGACTCATAGGGACAGACAGTCTGCACACACTCAGGGTGAAACAACTTCCCTAGACAAGAAAATCTAAAACCTCTATGGAAATGGATTTTTGGACCCTAGAAGACTGTGGGAAATTTGTTGTGGGAATGATGTGTGGAAGCCTGCACTAACTATCTCATATCTTCTCAGTCTTATGTCTACACTGCAGCCTCTTCAGAACCTCCCAGCTTCCTACCTGGAATATCCTAGGTTCCCAAGAAGAGAGTGAGATGGTCATTGAGAAATCTCAGTTCACTTCTAAATCTCTGCATAGGAGACCATCTTTTCATAACCCTCCTTTGGATGAACTTACTCCTATCCCAGCCACAGGCTTGATAATTCAATTATCCTGGATACCCCTTGTAGCCCACAAAAGTCAGGATCACCTCACCTGAGAGTGTGACCTCAATGGAGACATTGGGATATGATAACATGTAAGGAGTTGAGCTCTTAGAACCAAAGCATGTATAAGAAACCCCAAAGGGGCTGGAGAGATGGCTCAGCCGTTAAAGGCTAGGCTCACAACCAAAAATATAAGAGTTCGGTTCCCAGCACCCACAGCCGTCTCTCCAGCCATAAAAAAAAATAAAAAAGAACCCCCAAAGACAGAGGTCATGGCACTCATGGAGAATTCTGCCTTATATTGTAGCTCTTGAGGCATTGAACTTTGTGGCAGGTAGGAATGGCCAAACCTTCCTTGAACAGAAAGAATGTGTTTACTGGGACTGATGATTAACACAGTAAAGTCACATTCTCTCCTGAGGACACAGTAGTCCCTGGATGCACTGAGAGAACAGGTATAACAGGGAGGTATCCTAAAGATAAAAAAATAAGTGACTGAAGGGCTACAGTCATTGCTCTAAGCCACCCTCTTTCAGAACCTAGTCTCTATGTTGTAAAAAACAGTCCCTTCTCCACTCTCTTGCTCCTAGACCTGTTCATCCCTGACATGTTCATCCTCATCTTGATGATGAATCCCAGGTCTCCACCCAACTGACTTTGTGCCAAGGTGGGTCCATACTAAATGCACTACATTGCTCACCTGTGATCATGATGTCTAGAGGGTCACTGGGGGCTGACCACTCAGAGGAGAAGCTCTGTGCACCAAGGCATTTGTATTGACCACCAATGGAGAAATTCACAGAGCTTTAGGTGAAGCTGGCATGAAAATGACCAGCCTGGGGCTGATGAACACAAACTTGAGTGAGGTCACTTCTCCCCTCTTTGAAAGAGCAAATCTGTCACAACTTATCTCAGAGGAACACTTGAGTGTCAGCTTCTCTCCAGGGACCAGGACAGGGACTTTTGGGGTCAACAAAGTGGGCTTCATTGACAGCCCTGGAAGGAACAGCATCAGGAAGTCATCCACCTGGCTCTTGTTACATTCCATATCTCATCTTACTTTGAAAGTGCCATGGCCTTTTCTACTCTGGGCCTTAGGAATCAAGAGTTCCCTTCAGGCATCATGGCCTCAATCCCACCTTGAGGCAGCAGCACTAATGACAAAGAGTGTCTGGTGTCACTCACTTGTGGGAATGTGGACTTTCTTACCTGAGACATGTATCTCCAGAGGGTCACTGGCCTCGGACCACACATGTGAGGTATTTGTATAGTTTCCATAACATCGAAAGGGCCCATGTGTGCTGGATGTCACAAGGATCAGAGGAAACAGAGCCTGGGACTGTCCAGTGTGTAATAACTGTGCCTTTTGGGACCTGGAGAAATTCAGATCTGCACCAGTCAAAATGAACCCATCATATCCTTTGGATGAGACACACTGAAGGGTCACATTCCCACCTGAGGTCACCACAGGGCTGGGCAAAGCTGACAGAGTAGGTTTGCCATGGTAAACACCTAGGAGAGGAGCAGGCAGTCTGTCAAATGAAACACAGCCACTTCCAGCAGATGGGCTGTGGAAGCACACCTATAGAAGACTATTTCCTGTGGACAGAGGCAAAGATTGTGACAGTGTCCTCTCACCTGTCACCACCAGCTCCAGGGAGTCACTGTGCTCTGTCCACCCTGTAGATTCATAAGAGTAACAGCGATATTGCCCTGCATGATGCTTTTCCATGGACGCTATGGAGAACATGACCTTTTTACCAGGATCTTTTGGAGTTTGATGGAACCAGGATGCTGGACTTCCTTCTTTATACAGGAAATATATTTGGGTTTCCTTGGTCCCCTCACACCAGATGGTCACAGGATCCCCTGTGCTGATGACAGAGCCTGGCTCAGCCCAGAGGGTGGGTTTCTTGAGGTTTCCTTTAAGAAAGTAGGTGGGAAAGAGGTGAGATTTTGAGCAGTTTCACAGTAAGAGTCAAACATGCTACTGATCTTGAAATGTTCTCCTAAATAGCAAAAGGACCAGTAATGTCGTGGAAAGACTCAGTCTCATGAGCCTCCCAAGATCTCATCTCACTATGCTCTCTCCTCACTTTCTGTACACTGACTCGCACAGTCTGTAGCACAAATCTTAAAAGGCCTCATTAATAAAAACAAACTTGGTGCCAGTTATTGGGGAGAGAATGCTAGAAGATCAGAGAAACAGAAGAAACCACTGCCACCTCACCTTGCCAATTCCTCAACTGATCCTGTTTCCTCAGACTGGAAGCCTCTGAGTCCTCATGCAGAATGAATCTCAGCGGAACTGTTGCTCAAAAGCCTAAAAGCTTAACCATGCTTTAGTTCCTTGTCCTCATGAGTTAAATACCTTTTGGCTTCCTGCCATCACTTCCTGGGATTTAAAGGCTCTTGTTACCATGCCTGGCTGTTTCCAGTGTGGCCTTGAACTCACAGAGATCCAGGCAGATATTGGCCTCTGGAATGCTAAGACTAAAGGTTGTGAGCTACAATTTTCTGGCCTCTATATCTAGTGGATGTTCTGTTCTCTGACCCCAGATAAGTTTATTAGGGTGCACAAGATTTTGGGGAAGATAATATCACCACATTTCCTCTTTTGCTAAAATTTTAAAAAGCTTATAACTAATACAAGAAAAACTATATCCAATAAGTATATACAATATTCACAGTCAAGAATTACATACACAATGTCTTGTCCATTAACATTTGACAGATTCAGATGAAAAACTCTGTTAATAGATAACAATGTCCAGTCCATTAACATTTGACAAATTCAGACAAAAAAATTCATTACTTATCCTGTTTAAAACAAGTAGTTCACCAGGCGGTGGTGGCGCACGCCTTTAATCCCAGCACTCGGGAGGCAGAGCCAGGCGGATCTCTTTGAGTTCGAGGCCATCCTGGACTTCCTACCAAGAGAGTTCCAGGAAAAAGTGCAAAGCTACACAGAGCAACCCTGTCTCGAAAAACCAAAATAAATAAATAAATGAATAAATAAATAAATAAATAAATAAATAAATAAATAAATAAATAAATAAATAAAACAAGTAGTTCCTTTTTAAAAGTAGATTCAATAATCTCCCTTTTATTTTATCATATCCAAAAGTCTGCATGCTGTGTCAATTATCTCAGGAGCTCTGGGTGCTCAGACATATCACACATTATGGTCTTTACAGGAAACCTGTGTCAGGTGCAACATGATTCCACAGGGAGTCTGAGGCTTCCTCACCTGAGACCAGCAGCTCCAGGGGCTCACTCCCTTCTGACCACACCTGAGGATTATTTGTGTAATAGCCATAGCATCTGAACCTCCACCTCTGGCTAGAGGTCACTGGACCCACTGGAAACTCAGCCAGGAACATCCCAGTGTGTGTGTGTCTTGAGCTCTGAGGGATGGAGAACTTCTTATCATTCTTAGTTAAAATGAACCAGTCGTATCTCTGACTTGAGGTACAAGAGAGGGTCACAGACCCTCCTAAGTTTACAACAGGATTGTGTATGGTTGACAGGGTGGGTTTGTTGTAGACTCCTAGAAGAAACACACATGGAAAATTAAAGAGGATCACAAAGCCTGAATTGCCCCCCATGGTTGTCCTTTGATGAGAGGTACTGTTAGTGCAGTCTTTTCTTGAGAGTGACATCTGGGGTTAAGATTTCTGGTGTCTTCTCACCTGTCACCACCAGCTCTAAAAGGTCACTGCGATCTGACCATCCCACAGAGGTGTGAGTGTAACAGTGATATCAGCCTGCCTGCACTTGTGTCACAGATGGAATGGTGAGTTTTGCCTCAGTGTTGTCTGTTTGAGTCGGTTGGACCCAGGGCTCTTGGCTTCCCTCTTTATATATCACAGAGATTAGGGTTTCTCAGGTTGCCTGACACCTGATGGTAACAGGACTCCCTGAGGGGATCACAGAGCCAGGATGAGCCCCTATTCGGGGTTTGTGAAGGGTCCCTGCAAAGAAGTGGAAAAAAAGAGGTGCATCTGTTAGGAAAATATCACAGAGAAGGTCACCAGTTCAGGGACATGTAATCTGATCTGCAATACCAAAAGGACACGTAAAGATCACACTTTTCTCTGGATCTTAGGTTCTTTTGTTACTATCAATCCTAGTTTCTACACCTCAAGTCTGGCTGTATCACACATTTTATGACATTGGGTTCAGTATTCTTGGCTCTCATTCACCCACAACATACCAGGTCCTTTCCTGGGATCCTATGTCAGTTGTAATGTCCATCAAATGAAGTCCTGCATTTCCTTACCTGAGACCAGGAGCTCTAGGTGGTTACTGGGCACTGACCATGCCTGGGGGGTGCTCAAGTAATACCCATAGCATGTGAACCTCCACCTCTGGCTGGGGGTCACAGGACCCACTGTGAACAGGGCTCCAAAGAGCTCAGGGTGTATATTCTGTGAGGGCAAAGCTGGGGAGAACTTCTCATCCTCCTTCATCAGAATGAACCTGTCATATGGATGTTGTGACACACATTGAAGGGTCACATTTCCTCCTACAGTCACCACTGGGCTGGGAAGGGCTGACAGGCTCACACTGCTCCTGTGAACTCCTAAGAGAGAAGAGGGCAAAAAACATACATGAATGTGTCATGTGTTTAAACAGACCTTCAGATCAACTCAACCTAACGACAGTTCCCAAATCCACTTGCAGACAACTATCTGTCCACACATTAAGGCCTTTATTTATTAATTTTAATAATGTCTGCTTTATCCTCATATGCACATATGACCCTCATAGGAAGCATTTTCCTTTGCATATTTAAAAAGGGGAAACTACTGTGAATATACTCCTTTCCGCAAGGCAGATGCTTTATAGCATGTGATGGTTGTAGAGGGGTCCTCTCACCTGTCACCACCAACTCCAGGTAGTCACTGTGTTCTCTTTTGCCATTGGGGCTTTTATATTCACACATATATTGGCCTGCATTGATCCATTCAATTGATGAGATAGAGAATTTGGCCACGTTCTCAGTTTCTATTAGGGTTGTTGGTACCAAGAAATCTGGACTTCCTTCTTTGCAGAGACGGTATTCCTTGGCCTCTAAGGGCCCTTGACAGAAGAATGTCACTTGGTTTCCAGTCATTACCACATTTCTTGGAAGGGCTTGTAGTATAGGTTTAGAGAAGACCCCTGCAAGGAAAATGACAATTGGTTCCCCAGAACTCCCTCTCAGATATGAGCTCTCAGACCCAGGACATTCTCAGGCACACCCAGCATCAGCCCACACCTGTTGTTCTCCATCTGCTCTGTTCAGGAGTTTTCTGTGGTCCCCACAAATGATGTTCAATCTGGGACAGCTGTGAAGACACTCACCTGCCAATGCTGGGATCCAGAGGACCAGATGACTCAGTGCTGCAAAAGAGATACCTGTGTTTGCGCTGAAATATCAGAAAGCCCTCAACTTCCAGACATCTAAGCTGCTGAGATTTCCTGAGGGCACAAGGTATGCCTGTGGGGTGGATTCCCTCTCAGACAAGAATTCTCCCTCCCCATCTTGGAATCTCACCAACACACAGCAGGGATGTGAGAAAAGTTGTCATGGCATCTTCCAATTGCCACAATTTTGCAGATAGTTGGTCCCTTTGTCAAATGGAAAGAAACAAAGTGTATGGGCTATGAAGGCTGTCTTCTCCTTCATGTCATGAAGATGTAAAAAGAGTATCCCTTGAGGAAGAGGAACTCCTCTTCTCAGACACATGATGCTTCCTTTACCAGTGCTGTGGTGGGTTGGGCTACAGAATATGTGGCTTCTGCCTCTTTCTGGTCCTTTAGGCTTTGTGTTAGTTTCTGAGACAGAATCTCTTGAATCTCATGCAGTTTTCAGTCTTCTTCCTCTTATCTCTCAGCTTCATGTGGACTGGGATTACAAACGCAAATCTGATTGTGGTCTCTTCTTAAAGATCATGTCCGTTTTAAACATCCACTTCTGCCTGAATGCTCCCAGTGACCGTGGACCAAGACATAACATAAAATGAACCTGGTGACATTCCGATGCCTCCCCCCTCACCTGAGGGTGCGCAAAGCTGGTCTTTTTCTCTCAGAGGTTCTTCTTGGTTTTCCTTGACTCCAACAGCCAGACCAAACTCATGGATGTTTTCCTATCCAGCCCTTGAGATCCTTTGTGAATGTTGTGTGAACTTTTCCTCCAGAAACATGAACAATGCCTACTCATCCCAACTGTGACAGAAACAGGCAAGTCTCTGAAAAATTTTAACTGGTGAATCAAAAAGTTATATTAGGGTTCCTTAGAAGCAAGTGGTCAAATGTCTTTGTTCTTGTGTTTTGTTTCTGTTTGTGTGTTGAGAAAGGATAACAGTGTAGTTCTGACTGTCCCAAAACTCACTGTGTAGACTAGACAAGATCCACCAATCAGTTTCAACTCCAAACTCTTGATCCCAATGTGCTCCTCTATGCTAAGCAATATTTGAAACTTTTCAGTGTTTATATCTCTGAAAAAAGCTTTGCCTGAAACTTTTAACTGCCTCTATTTCTGAGAGGAGAGGAGTAGCCTCAGGACCCTCTATAATATAAAATAAAACTATTGTGTATAATCAGAGCTACAGTGTCTTCAACTGGCCAATGTTCATGTCATGCCTGGGAAGCAGTGACTCACAAGGGAAGATGCAGTTTGATGCTCCTGGGAAGATATAGCAGAAGGGCCACACTGAGCTCCTGATCTATCAATTCTTCTAGATGAACACAGAGGAAACTA